ACTGCCCTGTCATGATGGGGACAGATGAAACCACTGGTCCTCTCTCCTGAGGACCCACAATCCATCCTGCACACATCCAGCTCATGCCCAAGTTTCTTCCAGGCTCCCCAATTCAGATGAGACACCAGAACCTGATGCCATGGGTACTGCTCTCTCCTCATGGTTCCACTAATCACTGCGCCCAGCCCTCAGCAACTACAGACAGGTAGGCAGAGAGATGCCATCAGAGAGATGCTCAGGGACAGAACTGCATGGCTCCATCTCTTCCTGCCAGGCAATTTCCAGGGGGTCTTCCATATCATGCCTCACAATAAAATGTGGAGTCACCCATCACCCGTAAGTCCGCTGTACCAGGGCCCAGGTCCATCAATTCATGCTCCCTCTCTCCACATGTACCTCTCTCACATCTCCAGACCCCACGGTTACATCCTCGCAGCCACTGTCAACTCTCTGTCCCACACTATAGTCATCTTCCTGGACTCACCCCAGAGAACCTGGCAAATTCAAACAGAATCCAATTCTACCCAAGACCTCTGATGGATCCCAACACCATTTGAAGGCCTTTCTAACTGTTTCTAATTCTAGCTTCAACATTAGTCATACAGAACCATATGTGTATTTCAGATACCCATAACCCTCTCCTACTTTTAGGCTGTACTCATTCCCTCAGCAGCCACAATCCTCTCTCGACCTAACCCTCATTAAAATCCCAGCCACAATGGTACCCACACTAAGCATAGTGATTCTCACAGATAACCACGTTTGCCCATTATGTTATCTACATTATCTACTGAGACATCCCACCAAAGCTCACCACAAAATTCTAGCAAATGCATCTTATCTCTGTTCTCTGCCTCTGCATCTGTCTGTCTACTCTTCCTTTGGAAGTCTTGGACACCTGCCAACACCTCCGGCCCCACACATACTCCCTTCACGGCTATTTCTCTCCTACATCTGTGTTTATGATGTCCATAACCCCCAACCAGGTACCCAAGCAATAGATCAATTCTTGGAACTCATACAATTCTTTCTGACCTGCTAGTAACATTATCGCCATGGCCTGAATTCCACCTTCTAAATACAATCCATAGTTCCACACTGGTGCAGACACTAGCCACCACTTTCAGATGTCTCCATCCCGAACCACACCCCAGATTTCCAAACCTCTGTACTGCCCACCTGATGCCACTACTCCTTTGTTTTCTGAGAAATCTCATAATTTTAACACAGCCAAACCCAAAATTCCTGATATCCCCAATGAAAATCACTTACTACTGATTATCTCATCTCAGTTAATGAAGATTCCAGTCTTTCAGCTGCTAAGACCAAAACTTTAGTGCCATCACTGACTCTTACCGTTCTCTCTCCCACTCTCAAAATCAGAAAATCTGGGCAGCCCTTCTTAAATAATGGATCCAGAATCCAACCACTTCTTCCAACTCCACAGCCACTACTGTGGTCCATGAACACGCACCAGGACTTCTGCAGTACCCTCCTCCCTGGTCATCCTTCCCCCTCCCAAAGTCTGTTTTCCACTCTGTAACCAGACGGAGCCTGTTTAGACCTAAGTAAGATCATCTCCCTCCTCTTTTCCAAATCTCCCATTACCTCCACAATAGATGCCCAACTTCTCAGACAGCCACATTACAAGACTGACTCCTGTACCCTTGCTCTCTGTTGCTAAAAGAAAGGAGACCTGCTGTGCCCGGTTCCCAGTTGGTGGACACACTACCAAACATTTGAACATGCTGGTAACTGTTTCTGGTATAACCTTCTACACCATTTTTCACAGATGACCAGAAAGCAACTCTTCCATGAAACCCTTGGCCTGGACTAGAATGTGTCTAGAGGATTTCTCCCAGATCCCCAAATCCAAGGGCTGGGAAAATGGCATGTGAAGAGTCCCACGACACCACAATCTCAAGTTCATATGAGTGAGATCCAAGCCAGTGAGGGCCTGGGACACCATCCACTTCCCTGTGTAGATTCCTTAAGTGCTTCCTCAGTCATGGGGACCTGTGGGCAGAAGCAAGCGATAAAGGTGTATTCCCAGGGGCTCAAAACTCCCTGTACCTCTCGCCAGCCCTGGAGGCCAGATGACCTTGGGCTAAAAGACTAAACTCTCTGCTTCAGACCTCAGTGCTGCCTCTTCCCAGTTCTATGTTGGACAAGGACTCAACCTCCCTGTGCCTCACTACCCTCATCACCACCATTCCAATCTGTTCTCCCTCAGAGTAGCTCTTGGAAAGCTTTTAAAACCCTAAATCAGACTATATAGCTCTTCTCTTCACAACCCACCATGGCTGCCAGGGTCCTCAGAACGGAGGTACAAACCTCTCAGCTTGACAGTGCAGGTGCGAGTCCACCTCACATTCTCCACTCCATGCAAATACAAGACAGTTACAGGTTTCCCGAATCCTCCCTCCTCAGTCCCACCTCCAAGCCTTTGCACCTGCCGGTCCCCACGCCTTTCACCCTCTCCCACGCACCATCACACTGTCAGAAACAGAGCCCATCCACGACCGCCTCACCGTCCTGGACAGAGGCCTGAGCTGCGGGCACGTGGGCAGGGGATTTAGTGTCTGGTGGGGTGAGGGCGGTGAGGGCCCGGAGGACAAGCGTTTACCTGAGGCGGGTCCCTTAGGGCCGCCACCGCCATCGGACTCTGTGGGTGGAGCTGGGCCGGTAGCGGCGGGAGAACAGAGGGGACCCAGCCATGGCCGGCCTTATCCAGGGTCTGACGCGGTACAACCCGGGCGGTGTCGCCGAACCTCAGACCCGCCTCTGTGCAACGGGGACACCTCCGCTCGGAACTCCTTAGTTCAGTCATCTCAGCCCCCACGGAGCGCTCTGGAACTAGAACAAATCCAGAGCGATTAAAATGGCCGCCACGAGGAGGAGTCCGGAAGTCCCTCCCCGATGAGAAGCGCATGCGCAGGAATGTCTTTACCCTGAGTTTTCATTGGCTTAGACATGCTGCCTCTCGGCGCACAGTCCTCTAGGAAATGTAGTTCTCAGAGGTCTAGCTAGGGCTCCAGCTGGTGGTCCCACCCCCACAAACCCAGAAGCACTGCGAGGGATCTAACTAGGCTGGAGGAGAGGCTTTCGTTACTTCTTAGAGTAAGCTGTAGGGAGACTTATGGCGAGTGTTGTCTGCAAGTAATCACTAAAAGTTTTCAGAAATACTATTTCAGACCCCATGAAGCATGTTTCCCAGACGGTAAAAGTAATATTATAGGTGCTCCCAAAGTCTACAGATACATACTGGGCATATAACCTGAGAAAACCATAATTCAAAAAGAATCATGTGGGCTTCCCTGGTGGCGCAGTGGTTGAGAGTCTGCCTGCCGATGCAGCGGACACAGGTTCGTGCCCCGGTCCGAGAAGACCCCACATGCCGTGGAGCGGCTTAGCCCATGAGCCATGGCCGCTGAGCCTGCGCGTCCAGAGCCTGTGCTCTGCAACAGGAGAGGTCACAACAGCGAGAGGCCCGTGTACCACTAAAAAAACAAAAAAAAAGGATCATGTACCTCAATGTTCATTGCAGCTCTATTTACAATAGCCAGGACATGGAAGCAACCTAAGGGTCCATTGACAGATGAATGGATAAAGAAGATGTGGAACATATATACAATGGAATATTACTCAGCCATAAAAAGAAACGAAACTGAGTTATTTGTAGTGAGGTGGATGGACCTAGAATCTGTCACACAGAGTGAAGTAAGTCAGAAGGAGAAAAATAAATACCATATGCTAACACATATATATGGAATCTAAAAAAAAAAAAAAAAAGGTTCTGAAGAACCTAGGGGCAGGACAGGAATAAAGATGCAGATGTAGAGAATGAACTTGAGGACAAGGGGAGGGGGAAGGGTAAGCTGGGACGAAGTGAGAAAGTGCATGGACTTATATATAATACCAAATGTAAAATAGATAGCTAGTGGGAAGCAGCCGCATAGCACAGGGGGATCAGCTCCATGCTTTGTGTGACCACCTAGAGGGTTGGGATGGGGGATTGGGAGGGAGACACAAGAGGGAGAAGATAATGGGGATATATGTATATGTATAGCTGATTCACTTTGTTGTAAAGCAGAAACTAACACACCATTGTCAAGCAATTATACTCCAATGAAGAGTCTACAGATACAAATGAACAAACAATTCCATAAAGTCATTTGGACATAAAATATGTACATTGCTAGTGCCAACTAAAGAATGCTGCTAGCCATCTGGATCTATAAGGATTGAGTCACTAGCCACTGCAGTCACTGATCCCCAACACACCCTGAAAAAAGATCGGGGCAGAGATAAGGAATGAGGCACTCTGTGCTCTGGGAAAACTGGCAGAACAGGCTTTCAGAAAGTTACATTTTTTGAGGAGAAATTTTTTATGAACCTGGATTCTTGCATCTTCCCTTAGAAAAACAGTAAAACCATTAAATAAAATTTCTCCTGACTTGACTAGTGGCATGTGGGATCTTAGTTCCCTGACCAGGGATGGAACCTGCACCTCCTGCACTGGAAGCGCAGAGTCTTAACAACTGGGCTGCCAGGGAAGTCCCCTGATCTCCCTTCTTTTCTCTTCAGAACAGTTTCTCAGAGCTATCTGAGAGGCTGTCTCCTGGGCAGTAGTTCTCAGTAAGATACTGAATAAACTTGATTCACAGCTTTTATTTATTGTTCTTTACAGGCACGTAACCAATGCAGGGGATACAGGTTCGAGCCCTGCTCCACGAAGATCCCACATGCTGCGGAGCAACTAAGCCCCTGCGCCACAACTACTGAAGCCCACGCGCCTTAGAGCCTGTGCTCCACAACGAGAAACCACTGCAATCAGAAGCCCACGCACCACAACAAAGGGTAGACCCTGCTCTCTGAAACTAGAGAAAGCCTGTGTGCAGCAACGAAGACCCAACGCAGCCTCAATAAATAAATGCCTTTAAAAATAATAATAAAAGAAAGGAAGAAATGCAATACATGTCCTGCATCCAATTTGTGCCTTAGGAGAGGCAGTCCATGGGCATTGCCGGGGTGAAGATTTTAGTGTAAGGGGTGAAGTCAACTCCAACTTTGAGGTCTTGGGTTGGGACAACGTCATTTGAACTGTTATCATCTGAGGTGATGTCATCTCCAGCAACGAGCTCCTGGGCCAGGATGATGTTGTCTGGGATGTTGGATGGGCCTGTCCCTTCTAAGAGGGTACCCACTTGAGTTGATGTGGACCTCAGCATTTGCCATGTTTAGTTGAAACAATGGCTTCCTTGGACGGTTGGAGCTTCTTGAAAATTGATAAAAGTACTCCGACCAGAAGCAGAAAAATCGTCACAAGAATGGTGTGCAGCTGCACTTGACAGGTTTTTGATTTATTTGTGGAGGAAGTTTAGGTTAAAATTATAACTCCAAAGTGAAAAAGGAATGTCCTGGCAAGGCCTCATATTGTGGTGTTAATACATGTGGAGACGTGTGATTTTGATTTAACTGTGAGGCAAGAGATTCCTAGAGGTTCTTGCTATTTTTACCGAGGGGACAATTTTTAAGTAATGACCCAACAGTTTACAATAAATGTGGAGATGTGGCCATTGTGAGCCAGGTCATCCCATGCTAAGATTCTTGCCTGAAGTTTGCCCAAGGGTGTTGTCCCTTGGGTCCTGTGCTTTATCAGGGATGTCCTGGCTAAAGGATGGAAAGAACCAACATTTCACTGAGCTCCACCATGTCTGATGGTTGGCAGTGCTGTTCATCTTCCACTGCAGTTCACTCAGTTAATCCCAAGGGGCTCTCCAGGTAGACAAGGGGCCTGAATAGACGTGACCTTCCAGCACCATGGAATCTGGCATGTGACTAAAGACAGAGGATGCCACCACTCCTACAGGTGGAATATGCCAGAGGTTCCAGGTTTGTTTCCAGGCTGTTTTAATCTACAAAGGCCTCAGTAGCTGTGCTGAGCTTGGACTGTGTTGTTTCCATGACTCAAAGCATGGTAGGCAGCTGAATACAGAGAGTTACAGGCTCAGGGTCTGTGAGAGCCTCTATTTCCAGAATACACAGGAGGTAGACAGTCATCGGTGATTTTTTTTTTTTTTTTGCCGTATGCGGGCCTGTCACCGTTGTGGCCTCTCCCATTGCAGTGCACAGGCTCCGGACGCGCAGGCTCAGCGGCCATGGCTCACGGGCCTAGCGGCTCTGTGGCATGTGGGATCTTCCCGGACAGGGGCACGAGCCCATGTTCCCTGTATCGGCAGGCGGACTCTCAACCACTGTGCCACCAGGGAAGCCCCACTGGTGGTTTTAATGGCAGACAGCATGGGCAGAGAAGGCCAGCTTCTTGTATCAGAAGCCCTTGGTCAACTTACAGCCATCGTGTGTCCAGACTCCAGCAGGTTTAAGGAGAAGCTGCCAAATCCTCTATGGTAGAGTTTCTGAGGGCACTATCAGCTCTATGGCAGAGTTTCTGAGGGCACTATCAGGAATGCCTACTGATTTTAATTTGGAAGTAAAATTTGTAATGATGAATATGTTGGAGTAGCCAGGAAAACGTGTATTGTATCCCTCTTAAGGTAGAAACAAACTGCAGTAGAGGCTATTGAAACAGGCACTGAACAGAACATGTCAGCAAAACCTATAGAGCAAAAAATATTCACCCGTTATTGATTGAACAGAATCAGTAAGTTTTACTGGGTATTGGATATGGAACCTTGATGGACAGGACCATAGCATTAAGGTTGTAGTAATCTATCAAGTGGTGCTCATTATTTTTTTCAGATATAAGAACAAGCAAAATTGGACTGTAAATGGAGAAGCAAAGGGGTATAATCACCATTTTATCACACATAAGTTTTAATCCTTGAAGGTCCTGTTTTGATTTACATGGGGTCACATATTTCAAGCCAATTTGTAAATGTCAAAGTCTTAATTTTAATCCATTTCTATTGTGCCAAAGCATCTATGCCCAATATGGAATATCTGAAAGAAATGGGTACTGGGACTATGGGAGACTGAGGCAAGGCTATGTCAGGGAGGGGGAAATTTCCCCCTCTACCCCTCTTGAGTTCCTGTGGCTGGACTAATAATAAAATTGACACAAGGGACTTCCCTGGCCGTCTAATGGTTAAGACTCTGTGCTTCCACTGCAAGGGGAGTGGGTTAGATCCCTGGTCCAGGAACTAAGATCCCAAATGCCGCACAGTGTGGCCAAAAAAAAAAAAAAAAAAAAAAAACTGACACAAGACAGATTAACAGGACAAAAAGAAACACTTTAATTCATGTGCACTGAGGTCTCATAGGAACATGTCTCTTCTGTCAGTGTTTTTGTTCTAATCCCAAGTGTGAAATGTGAAACAAAATGGAGTCACTTATGTCAAGGCTTTTAAAATGGTGCTGGGGGACTTCTCTAGTGGCTCAGTAGTTAAGAAGCCACCTGCCAATGCAGGGGACACGGGTTCGATCCCTGGACCAGGAAGACCCCACAGGCCATGAAGCTACTAAGCCCATGCACCACAGCTACTGAGCCTGCAAGGCACAACTACTGAAGCCCACACACCTAGAGCCTGTGCTCTGCAACAAGACAAGCCACCTCAATGAGAAGCCCGTGCACCACAACGAAGAGTAGCCCCCCCTTGCCGCAAATAGAGAAAGCCTTCACACAGAAACAAAGACCCAACACAGCCATAAATAAGTAAATAAATAAATTTATATATATATTTAAAAAATGGTTGATGATAAATTTGATGTTATGTATTTTTTACTATAATACAAAGAAAATAATCTTAAAAAAAATACAGATAAGTCTTTAAAAGTAGAGAAACTAGGACTTCCCTGGTGGCACAGTGGTTAAGAATCCGCCTGTCAATGCAGGGGACATGGGTTTGAGCCCTGGTCCACGAGGATCCCACATGCTGCAGAACAACTAAGCACATGTGCCATAACTACTGAGCCTGTGCTCTAGAGCCTGTGAGCCACAACTACTGAGCCCAGGTTCCTAGAGCCCATGCTCCGCAACGAGAAGCCACTGCAATGAGAAGCCCGAGCATCACAATGAAGAGTAACCCCCACTCGCTGCAACTAGAGAAAGCCCGCGCACAGCAACGAAGACCCAATGCAGCCAAATATAAAAAATTAAAAAAAAAAAAGTACTTGTAACGTCCAGCAAAACCCATCAAAAACATTAATTAATTAACTAATTTTAAAAAGTGGAGAAACTATCCCAGCTGCAGGGAGAAAGTTGCAGACTGAATCAGAGTCAGAGACATGGCAGTATGATAAGGACGTTTGATGGTTTTGAGATAACAGCTTTGTGCTAGGACGGGAGAGGAACCGTAGGAGCTAAGGACAGTACACGTCTGACAGCCAGCAACCTTAGTCCTGACTCAGCAAGATGGAAAGGTCAGAGCTGTCAGTTACACAAAAACCTCTTTGAAGAAACTGGGACTTCGCAGATGTCCTCAACACAAGCAGAGAGGATCTAGGGAGCTGAGAGTCCTCAGTCCTACAATCACATAAAATTGAACTCTGCCAACAACCCAAACAAGCAAGAATCTGGTTCCCCAGAGCCTCCAGAAAGGAACACAACCTGCCAGCATGCAGGAGTATCTGGAGTCCCAGGGACTGGGGGAGAGCTCTGCCTCTGGGTGACTGCATTAGTGTCCAGATGACTCCTTTCCACACCTGCATGGATGCTACCCCTGCAGTTACTGTCCTGGCATCAAACATCAATTTGATTCTTCTGACTCTGATTAAACATTATCCCTAAGTTACTGATGTGATGGTTTCTACTAACCTGGACTGAGTGATTATCCTCCTCACTCAGATGAAAGTTGGGATCCTGGGAAACTCCTCACTTCTTTGTTTTTTTTACTTTCACTTCGCTCACTGGAAGAAGTCTCACACCCAGAGACCAAATCCTCAACCACCTTGTCTTAGCCAACTGCTTAGTTCTTTTCTCCAAAGGGATCCCTCATGAAATGACAGTGTTTGGACTGAAATATTTCCTGGTCTTTGCTGGATATAAACTTGTGTTCTATTTTCATAGAGTAGCCAGAGTGGTTTCCCTCAGCACTACCTGCCTCCTTGGTGGCTTCCAAGCCTTAAAGTTTTGCCCCAGTAGCTCTAATTGGATGGAGCTCAAAATTAGAATCTCAAACTACATTGGCTTCTGCTGTTCCTTTTGCTGGATCCTGACTTTCCTAGTAAATACACATATTGCTATAAAGGTGTATGGCCCAAGCAACGCCAAAAGTATAAGTTTGGGGCTTCCCTGGTGGCGCAGTGGTTGAGAGTCCGCCTGCTGATGCAGGGGATACGGGTTTGTGCCCTGGTTCCAGGAAGATCTCACAGGCCGCCGAGCGGCTGGGCCCGTGAGCCATGGCCGTTGAGCCTGCGCGTTCGGAGCCTGTGCTAGGCAACGGGAGAGGCCACAACAGTGAGAGGCCCACATACCACAAAAAAAAAAAAAATTATATATATATATATATGGAAAAAGTATATAAATACTGTTCTGGGCCCACTCCCGACAGACGTACAAGCTCTTAGCTTTTGGCATGCCTTCCTCATTAAGCTTAATCATTTCTAGCTTCTGATTTAAAGTGAAAGACGTGAAGTGACTCTAAACTTTCACTGGAACACTGGAGGTTATTGTAGGTTATTAGTTGGGCTAATTTCAATATTGTTGTGTCTCAGGGAATAGGGAGCCCAAGGGGAGAGAGAGAGAAAGACAGGGGAATGACCAATCAGTGGAGCAGTCAGAACACACATTTATCAATTAAGTTCACCATCTTATAGGCGTACAGCTCATGGTGCTCCAAAACAATTACAATAGTAACATCACAAAAACAAAAAACAAAGTAACAAAAAAAACCAACTGGGAATTCTCTGGCAGTTCAGTGGTTAGTACTCTGTGCTTTCACTGCCGAGGGCCCGGGTTCAATGCCTGACCAGAGAACTAAGATGTCACAAGCTGCATGGCACAGACAAAAACAATTTAAAAAGTAACATCAGGGCTTCCCTGGTGGCACAGTGGTTGAGAGTCCGCCTGCCGATGCAGGGGACACGGGTTCGTGCCCCGGTCTGGGAAGATCCCACATGCCGCGGAGCGGCTGGGCCCGTGAGCCATGGCCGCTGGGGAAAAAAAAAAAAAAAAAAAAAAAAGTAACATCAAAGATAACTAATCACAGATCTCGTAAGAAGTATAATAATAATGAAAAAGTTTGAAAACTGAGAATTACCAAAATGTGACACAAAGATACAAAATGAGGAAATACTGTTTGAAAAATGGTGCTAATAGATTTGCTCAGCGCAGGGTTGCCACAAACCTTCAATGTATTAAAAACAAATACAGTATCTGTGAAGCACAATAAAACAAGGTACGTCTGTAGTCTGCCTTAAAGAACAAATATATTTTTGATAAAATTCAGCACTGATAAATATTTATCACATTTTAAAATATTTTTATTTTGTGTGAGAAAGTTATTGTCATTATGGAAATACTCTTACATTTTAGAAAAGCATTCTCAAGAAACTATGCATTAAATGACATAATCTCTGGGTTTTAAGTAAAAGAACCCACTAATGTGCATGAGAGATGAAACGTGAATCACTATAAATAATGACAGAAGATTGGGAATACATAAGACAGTCTTTTCTACTTTTGTATATATTTGAAAATAGCAATTACAAACAGTAGACTATATCCTGTATCAGAAATCTTATAAGTTGAAAAGCACAAATTTAAAAAGGGCTTAAGGAAATTTTATGCATCAAACCATCAAAATTGACATTTTTAATATATACATAAGTCAATTATATATCAAACTCTTTTAAGTTACAAATATTGAAACATCATCTCTCTCTAGTCATTTCTCTGTTTAGAATGGTGTGATACTGCCAACTCTTCCCAACTCTATTCAGTGACATCAGGTTGGTAGTTTGAAATTGTTCATGGTATTTATACCAAAGAAACTGGCAAACACTACAAACCAAGGCTTGATTTATAGTATTACTGAATGCAGTATATTGAATGTCTACACTTAGAAAAGTGATGGAGAATATGTTAATAATGCTGATGAAACTTAAATATTTGGTATAGGTGTCCATACACTGTGCATTCCATCAAAAAAACAAAAAACAAAAAACAATAACAAAATATTCAAATAACAAAAAATAACAAAATATTCTTCCAGTATTCAAAAACAATTATTCCATGCAGCAAAGAAGTCACTCACATCATTGAAAAATAAGTAAAATACCAACATGTCTTTGTTGTTCGTCTTATTGTAACTAAAAAGCAAATAGCCAAATTCACAAAATAGAAAATAAGACAAAGAAAAGAATAGACATCTTACTAAAGAAGATATACAGCAAACACATGAAATAATGCTCAACGTTGTAAATCCTTAGGGAAATGCAATTAAAACCAGTGGATTACCTCTACACACTTATTTTAAAAGGGTAAAATTAAAAAGTAACCTTACCAGGTATTGACAATGGTGTGAAGGAATTGGAAGTCTCACACACTGCTGGTGGGAATGCAAAAAAACACAAACATTTTAGATTACAGTTTGGCAATTTCTTAAAAAGTTATACTATTCACCTACCCCATGACTGAGGTACTGCACTGAGTTATTAATACAAGAAAAATGAAACATATCCATATAGGTAATTGTAAACTAATGTTCATATCAGCTTTTATTTACAAAAGCTACACACTGGAAATAACTGAAATACCCATAAACAGATGAATGTATGAACACAGTCAATTATACATGGAAGAGAAAACTTCCATTTCTAAGCATTCTTAGAAATATGAATGTTCATGTCAGTACAATGAATTATTCTCAAAGTAATTATGTAGCATCAATGAAACCAGAAAAAAATAGTAAACACTTTATGGTCAATCATAACATTCTAGAAAATGCAATCTATTGTAAAGGAATGTAAATAAATGGTTGTCTGTATAGCCAGGGAGAGCAAGGAGACTAGCAAAGGGCATGAGAAAAATATGCTGGTGACAGATATGCTCATTATCATAATAATAATGGTTTCACAAGTGTATACATGTGAAAACTTTAAATTGTACACTTTAAATATGTACAACATTTCTATGCCTGTTATACCATCATGTACGTTTAAAAAGTGGTTCATAATAAAAATCTAAATATCCCACTCTTCAGAAAATTACTCCACTACCTCATTCCTCATGCCTTGAGGGGCAGCCTCTCCTCAGGGACAGGAAATACTGGCAAACAGTGAAGGCCATTTCCAGCTGAGTCAAGAAGACTGCTGGCTGGGTCACAAAAAACACATGCCTGGACCATAGTATCTCACCCCCCTTCTTCTGTTGCCTGTATAGCAATGGCCTTCAGGTCAACAGCTCAGAAAGGCTAGAGGGATCCCCCAAAACCCTTATTTTGTCTGCCAATGACTTCACAACATAAACATACCTGGAGGTCCTGAGATTTCTGGACACACTCATCCTGCAGTCATTGTCAGTAGAACATTTGTGGATGTACCTTTAGAAGTGGTACGTTCCATGTAGCTTGCTGCAGTCTCCTCCATTCCCTAGTAACCAGTGTTTCTGTACCAATTGTGGTCTTCCCTGCCCCTGCAGCCTTACAACTATGGACACTAGCCTATGGAATTCCAGGTATCAGGGTATATGGTTGATTTGGAGGAGAACTGGGGTTAAGATATCCCTCAGTAGTGCTGGCCATTGTGTGTTATCCCCTGTGGGCAAGAAAAAAAAGAATCCATGTTGTCTCCAGAAGCACTAGAATGTACAAAACTCTTGTATCCAGGCAAAAAGTTATAACAAAGTATTCTTTCCTAGGAGGCCTTGGCAGCAATGCAAACTAGGCCAAAACGAAAGCCCTATATTTGGCCATCATACCATGTCCTCTGAGGCACCCAAAGTTTGGATCTCCACAAAAGTCATTTACCCCTCAAGTTGACGGTCCTATTGTGCTTTCAAACTATTCCACACAGTGAAGAGCATTTCCAAAATTAAGGTGCTTAAACAAAAAGGCCTTTATTATTACACAAACCAGAGCAATGTGCAACAGGCAATTTCTGGTTGGGTGACTTGGAAGCTGGAAACATTCATCACAACTACCCGAGACCAACTGTGTCCCTGAAAAAGCTAGTTCTTCTCTGCAAGCTGCCAGCAGAACTCAGAGTTCTCAGGGCCAACACAGGTCAGGTCCATGCCCTAACTTGTCAGAGAAAAGGGAATGAAGACTCCAAAAGGGCTCAGGTTACTCATGATTTCCTCCAACAAACGGGACAGCACAGAGGCCAGTTACTCTGAGCATACTAGGCTTGTGACTGATGCCAACTGTGAGGGCCTGCCAGATGCTAGAGGTGAGATAGTTTCTGCCACAGAAAATGGCAGTGACCTTGGGCAGGTTACACATGCTTCACACACAACCGTGAAATTTATGGTGAATCAATCCCTAGTCTGTGGATATCCCGACGTGAGATTTGATTCACTCAGATGGTTCCTCACAGAGCTTTCCTCCAACACAATGAAGCTAAATAAGAAAAAAGCACATTCATTGCATGTGCAAGACTTTTTCCAGTGTGAACTCTTTGATGTTGACCGACGTCAGATTTGCAGGTAAAGGATTTCCTATACTCACTGCACGTGAGTTCTCCTGTGTCGAAGGAGACCAGAGCTCTGAGTAAAGGATCTCCCACATTCACTGCAATCAAAAGGTCTTGCTCCAGTGTGCACTATCCGGTGTCGAATGAGGTGGGTTTTGCGGCTAAAGGATTTCCCACATTCACTGCACTCGTAAGGCCTTTCTCCTGTGTGAACTCTCTGGTGCTGAATGAGGACAGATTTCTGGCTAAAGGCTTTCCCACATCCACTGCACTCATAAGGCTTTTCTCCAGTATGAACTCTTTGGTGTTGAATGAGGACAGATTTCTCACTAAAAGATTTTCCACATTCGCTGCACTCATAAGGCCTAACTCCAGTGTGAGCTGTCCAGTGTCGAATGAGGTGGGTTTTACAGTTAAAGGCTTTCCCACATTCACTGCACTCATAAGGCCTTGCTCTAGTGTGAGCTCTCTTGTGTCGAAGGAGGCCAGAACTTTGGCTAAACGATTTTCCACATTGATCACATTTATAAGGCCTTTCATTAGTGTGAACTCTCTGGTGTTTAATGAGGATGGATTTCTGGATAAAAGATTTCCCACATTCACTGCACTCATAAGGCTTTTCTCCAGTGTGAACTCTTTGGTGTTGAATGAGGTCAGATTTCTGGCTAAAAGACTTCCCACATTCACTGCACTCATAAGGCTTTGCTCCTGTGTGAACCCTCCAGTGTCGAATGAGATGGGTTTTACGGCTAAAGAATTTCTCACATTCACTGCACTCATAAGCCCTTTCTCCAACATGAATTTGCTGATGCTGAACAAGTCTATATTTGCATTTGCTACACTCTTCAAGACCTTCTCCAGCACAGACTCTCTGGTGGTGAAGTATATGAGTGTTGCCAAAAACTTCCCTGCATTCAATCCACTTGTTATGACTTTTTCCATTGTTTAAGGCCTCCCCAGACTCAATGCTGCTGTGTGGCTTCTCACTGTTGGGAGGGGCCTGGTGCTGATGAAGGCCCAAGGTAGCTAGGAAGTCTTTTCCCTCCTCCCCACAGGGGAAGGGCTTCCCTGACACAGGGAGTCTGCAGCTCGTCACAATCGAGGACCTGTCCACGTCCGTTTTAAGGTTTTTCTCTCCATTGCCATGCTCCCGATACTGGTGAAGGCTTGCATTCAACCAGAAGCTGCTGGACCCCTCACCAAAGTATGGTTTCTGCCCAAGATATGCTGCCTGGAGCTCAGTCAGCTGCAAAATGTCTTTCAAGACTGAGACACACTTCTCACAGGGATGAGTCTTCTGGGTCGATGGAACTGACTGAGAAGTCCTGACCTGTGACTCTCCTCCAGAAACACTCTGCTCAGAAGGGATCTCCTCATCCTCTGCTCCACACTGACAATCTGAAAGCAGAGGAATGCTAATAAAGTGCTAATGAATCCATGGGAATGTTTTCAGGATGAGGCACTAATTTGAAGGGAGGGCTGCTCTGCAGTACTGGGCATCTAAAGTTCACAGAAGGGGGGTAACTTTCCAGGACAAAGGGCACAAATACAGGGTGTAACACAGGGAGGAGAGGCAGGATCACTTACTCCCTCCTCTGCCAACAGCCTTCAGCTAGATCTTGTCAGCTGGGAACATGTCCATACTATGCAGAAGGATGACTGTGTCCAGGCCCAGGGAAATACAATTGGAACTGAGTAGCTGGTGTTCAAGGACTATTTAAGAATGTGTGCACACCTCACAACACTTTATAGGCATATGTCGTTATCATGGCACTTTGCTGTATTGCCCTTTGCAGATAGTGCATTCTGGTTTTTTAATTTACAAATTGAAGGTTTGTGGCAACCTTACGTCCAGCAAGTCTATCGGTGCCATTTTCCCAACAGCATTTGCTCACTTTGTATCTCTGTGTCACATTCTGATAATTCTCACAATCTTTCAAACTTTTCCATTATTATTATATTTGTTATGGTGATCTGTGATCAGTGATCTTTGATGTTACTACTATGACTCACTGAAGGTTCAGATAATGGTTAGGATTTTTTAGCAAAAAAGTACTTTCAAATTAAGGTAGGTATATTGATTTTTAGGCATAATTCTACTGCACCTAATACACTAAAGTATAACGTAAACATAACTTCTATATGCACTGGGAAACAAAAAAATTCGTGTGACTCACTGTATTGCAGTGGTCCGGAACTGAACCCACATCTCTGAGGCATCTGGATAAGTGTAAGTCACTGAGGGAGAAACTACAGATGGTGCAGTGGAGAGGGACATGATGCATACAGGTCTGAAAGGTGGGGACAGTCAGAAACTGGAAATGACAAATCAGAAAAGTGTCAAGTATGCAGAAGAAGGTGTAGAAATAATTTGCGTCAAGTGGCACTTGCACCAAAACACTGGTGGACACAGGGTAGGTTCCTGGTATGATTAAACACAGCCTCATTTTCATGCCCTCCCCTCGCCCCCCCTCCAGTTTCCACTCACCAGGACCAGGTCTCCTCTGAGACCAACTTGCCATGTTCACCCTGTAAAGCAATCAAGGCTCTCCCCACACCCCCCCAGTTCTGTAACTACGTGAGACTGGAATGAAACAAGTCCTTAGGGAAAG